GCCAGCCTACATTTTAATTTTTTTTTTAACTTCAGTTTACAAACATAGAAATATAAAATGTAAACATAACCATAACCATAACCTTGTGAGGATCTTAAGGGTGGTGAGAACCAGGGAGGATTGTGAGGCACTCCAAAGGGCCAGTGGGCGTCAACGTGGCAAACGGGGTTCAGTGTGGCCAAGTGCAAAGTGATGCCCATTTGTGGCCAAAAATCCTAACTATAAATACACATTGATGGGGTCTGAACTGGTGGAGACTGACCAAGAGAGAGACCTTGGAGTGGTAGTAAATAACTCGTGGGCACTCAATGAAATTGCTGAGCAGTCAGGTTAGAACAGATAAAAGGAAGTACTTCTGCACCCAAAGAGTGATTAACACAAGGAATTCACTGACACAGGAGGTGGCGGTGGCTACAAGCATGGGTGGCTTCAAGAGGGAATTGGATAAACATATGGAGCAGAGGTCCATCAGCGGCTATTAGCCACAAGGTATAGATAGGGACTCTCAGGCTGGAACAGGTGATGCTCTGTATTCTTGGTGCTTGGGGGGGGGTCAATAGTGGGAGGGCTTCTAGTGTCCTGGCCCCACTGCTGGACCTCCTGATGGCACTTGGTATTTTTGGCCATTATGTGACAGAGTGTTGGACTGGATGGGCCATTGGCCTGGTCCAACATTGGCCTATGTTCTTATGTTCTTACAGCAGCAGCAGCAGAAGGAGGAGGAGGAGGAGGAGGAGGAGAAGAAGAAGAAGAAGAAGATATTAGATTTATAACCCGCCCTTCACTACCCAAAGGAGTCTCAGAGCAGCTTACAAACTCCATTCCCTTCCCCTCCCCACAACAGACACACCCTGTGAGGTAGGTGGGGCCAAGAGAGCTCTGACAGAAACTGCTCTTTTTCAAGAACAGCTGTGCCAGTACTATGGCTTGCCCAAGGTCACATCAGCAGGTGCAAGTGGAGGAGTGGGGAATCAAACCCGGTTCTCTCAGATTAAAGTCTGCGCACCTAACCACTATACCAAACTGGTTAAACTCTGTAACAACAGACAATATGGGTCGGGAAAGCTGAAGGCGGCAGGAATAGAGGGAGACCCAAGATGAGACGGATTGACTCGATCAAGGAAGCCACAAGGGCCCTACGTCTGCAAAGCCCTGAGCGAGGCTGTTGGCGATAGAACGTCTCGGAGGTCATTCATGCATAGGGTCACTGTAAGTCGGAAGAGACTTCACAACCTTTAACCCAAACAACAGTGCCTTCAGGTATCCTCACCTCTTCTCAGCAGAGACTCCTTCCCGTATTCCAGGAACTTCTGCAGCCAACCAATGCATTCCCCCTCCAGGTAGGCCTTGAACCTATGGCAATCTGCTAGGTCAGCATCCCACTGCCTCTTGGTCACCTGAGCGGGCACAACGGCTGCTGTCCAGGTGAGGGTCTCCTTGTCAAAGTTGATGTAGTCCTCCCCATTATAGCCGTACTGCATGAAACCTTTTTTGCTCCCATCCTTGTTCAGTTCACAGCCAAACATGTGCTGCCAGATGTGTAGCCCTGAAGGAAATGCGCAATTAGAATTAGAAGAAGAGATTGGATTTATACCCTGCCCTTCACTTGGAGTCTCAGAGCGGCTTACAAACTCCTTTCCCTTCCCCTCCCCACAACAGACACCCTGTGAGGTCGGAGGGGCTGAGAGAGCTCTTTCAAGAACTGCCCTTTCAAGGACAGCTCTTGTCAGAACTAGGGCTTGCCCAAGGTCATCCAGCAGCTGCAAGTGGAAGAGTGGGGAATCAAACCCAGTTTTCCTGGATTAAAATCCGCACACTACACCAAACTGGTTAAACTCTGTAACAACAGACTCTTTAATAACATATTATGGCGTAATTGCTGCCCAAATTTTTCATATTTAAGCAATAAACATATCCTTGATAATATGTTGTTTACACCAACAGTATACATGAAAATTATGATTATCTAGCCCTGTAGATTGTATGACAATATTTCTCCCCCACACTGTGTATATTGAGGAAGTAAAATCTTGTCTTAAAGCACACAAACTGTCTTCTACTGAGTCAGATGACTGACAAGGTCAATCTTGTCCACTCTGACCGGCAGCAGCGCTCTGCAGCCTCTGATGAAAGTGGTTCAAATCACCTGCTACCTGATCTTTTCTTAGCTGGAGATGCTGCAGATTGAACCTGGGACCTTCTGCATGCCCAGAGGATGCTCTGCTTTGGAGCTAAGATCTCCCCCTTCTCATTCAGATTCTTGCTTGGTCCAAAAGAAAGAAAAAATCACAGAAGTTTCTTTAGTGGTCCTCCAAATTTCCCAATTTTCCCAACAGAAAAACCCGATTCTCCCAGATTAGAGTCCCCGCACTTAACCACTACACCAAACTGGCTCTCAACGTTCTTCTCTCGCAGAATTTGCCATGACCACGTGCCACAATTGAGCAGGCGGCGTCCCAGCCTCTTGCTCTGGCCTCTGGCCACAAAGGGGAGGAGGCTGTGCCCCCTCCAATCCCCCCAATCCTACCTGTGGGCTTCCTGGGGGAATTTGATTGGACAACGGGTGAAGCAGAATGATGGATTAGATGAACCTTTGACCTGATCCAGCAGTATTACCAAAGTGGACTGCAAAGTGGGAAAAAGAGGCGTTTCTGTCCTGGGAAGTCCCCTCTGCCCATGTTCTGCCCTTGGGAAGGAGGCCTCCGGGGTGGACCATGTGCTTCATCCCCTTACCTCTGCTATGATTGTAGATACTCCGCAATTTCCTCAGGTATGTCTTCATTCGCCACTCAAAATAGATGGCTCTGTCGGTGTTCCAGTCCCAGAAGTGAGGGTCGTCCTTCTCCACCTTCCTTACCCAGGGGACACGAGGCACGGCCCTCCTTGTGGTGCTGTTGTACTGACCGCCAAGCTGGTCATCAAGGTAGCCCACCGCGATGAAATCCGGCTCACCCTGGTCAGGCGCCCAGATCATTGTGTAGAAATAGCGCAGGGAGTGCCAAGAAGAACCTGGGAAGGGCAGAGAGGCAGAGCTAAGGGGCCTGCAACCACACACCCAGGATCACCCACGTGCCCTCTGCCTCCTCCACCAAGGCAGGAAGAGGCTCCTTTCCCCCCACCTTAAAACTATTGGGTTAAATGTTCAAAAAACATTGCCTTGGAAGCACAGAAGGTTTTTCCGTAGTATCCCCAATTCTCTTCGTTTCCCAGTTAAGGGGGAAAATGCTGTTCAAACAAATGACAAAGACGACCTGACTCCAATGGTAAAAAGAGAAAGAAATTTTACATACAAAAATGGAAGCACGTCTTACATGACATATTCATGTTGGTACATTTAACTTATTGTGAACAGATTAACTTCAAAAAAGGTTGACTTGTTGCAGCTCCAAGCCCAGGTAAGAGACAGAAGAAGACAGGTCCTATAGATGATAAAACAGTGGGCAAAAGCAATGGCCAAAGAGGCTCAACATCTAACCCATGAGAGGGCGGGGCCAGCTGCCAAGTGTACCCGAGTGAGAGAATTCTCTTAACCCTTTCTGTGCTGACCCAGTCAGCTTTAATGTACCTTTAAAAGTAGTTGCACCCTGGGAATTGGAGTCCACAGTTAGGGGTCCCAGAAGCTTCCCTCTGATTGGCACATTAAGAGTAATTTCCTGAGCTCAGAGGGGCAAAGATAGGAGTTTTATGGTTCTTTTCCGTTTCTTTGTTCATCAACCCTTACTGCAAAGGAGAGGGGGAGCCCACCTCTTCTCTCACCACGGCTATTGAACTAACCTAGATCACAAGATGTAACTTTCCACCCAGCTATTGTGAGTAAATGATCTTCTGAATGCGTGTGAAGTTGAATAAAGATGATTTAAGCTTTCTTCAGTGGTCGTGTGTTGGCTCACGCCTAGAAAGCGCTGGCTTAGCCACAGCTCGGCTGGACAGGAATACTTCCCCTCTCAGATCCTTCTGTGTGCAGAGTTACAATATCCAACAATCCAACGAAAACACCATCAGCAGCCTGTGCAAGAAATCTGAGGGCCCCCAGGTCGGACAGCCTGATTTGTCACGTTGTGTATAAAATTGCTTGCCAGTTATGTGGATGGAGCACATTCACTGGGTGATTCTTCTCCCAATCCCTTTCTGGCCACGCACTACAGAAGCTGACGAAAGATCATCAGCCGAATGACATCTGGCCACGTGATCCGTGTCAGAATGAAGGCTAAGGTGGGTTCCCAATTCCTTCCTCGACACAGAAAAGGAGGGCCAGCCTCCGCAAGAAACTGAAGGGTGCTCATTCCAGGATCCCCAAGTTAGCTTTGGCGGCCCACGCCTTTTAAATGAATACATAAACCATCTTCTGCCTGGCTTTCATCTCAGATTCTGACAATGTGGGGGCTGGAAGGGGGGGGGGGACACTCTGCCTCCACAACAGTTTGTGGTCCGGCACCTGCAAGAGAGCAGAGCTGCCAAGGAGAAAGAGGAATCGCTCCTTCTGCTCCCATTTCTCGGTCGTTGTGTCCTTCAAAATGGAGCACCTTCCGCTAACTGTGGACATGATCTAGAAGGAAGCAGGAGGGCCTCATGATCTAGGGCATAAATTACATGGATTTCAAGGGGCGGAGTTTTTCCGCAGGCGGAGCAGGGTTGAAATCCCAGCGGCTTCATCAGGATGCATCCGTGCCTTGCGCTCAACTCTGAACTTCAGACAAGGATACCAACTTCAGTTTCGGCTGAAGGAGAGGTCCCAACTCGGCCTTCTCTTACAGCACTGCAGAAACCCTCCCCAGACAACTGGGCCGGGCGCAAACCCTGATCTCCCTCCCCTGAAAAGAACCCCCTCCATACCTCCATATACTCACCAGGACTGCCCCCCAGCAAGAAAGCTGCTGCTACCAAGCCCCAAAGTAGACCCATCTTCATTCTGGATCCGGCTCTTTCTCGATGGTTCCTGGACAGGCTGAGACCAAAAAGCTCCCCTTCAATAGGTCAGAACAGAGAATTGGCGCCTGTGGAAAATTATAAAAATATTCAGAACTTTTTTCTCCTTCTCGTGTAATACTAAAGCTCCGCAGTACCTGACTGAGCTGATGAGCACTAGACTCAGGACAAGCAAGCGGAAGATGCTTCTCACTTACAGAGTAACCAGGTCTATTTTTGGGCAGGAACGCACAGGAACGGAGTTCCGGCTGGCTCCCAAGTTGGCCACACCCAGAAGCTGATGAGCACTAGACTCAGGACAAGCAAGCGGAAGATGCTTCTCACTTACAGAGTAACCAGGGCTATTTTTGGGCAGGAACGCACAGGAACGGAGTTCCGGCTGGCTCCCAAGTTGGCCACACCCAGCAGGAACTCATTAGCATAACAGGCCACACCCAGCAGCAGAAACTCATTAGGATTGGCTACAGTAGGCGTGTGTGGCCTAACATGCAAAAGAGTTCCTGCTCCAAAAAAAGCCCTGGGTTTTGACAACAAACAAGGTAAACAGAATAACAACCAAAAGGTGGGTGTGGCTGGATGACCACACTTCTGGTAAAATTGGAATGCGGCCTAATATGCTAATGCGTGGTGCAGTCAGGGGTGTGACCTAATATGCTAATGAGTTTCTGCTGCTGGGTGTGGCCTATTATGCTAATGAGTTCCTGCTGGACTTTTTCTACAAAAAAAGCCTTGAGAGTAGCTATCCCGTGGAACCCACTGCCAGAGATGACTCAGGGGGGCCATGAGAGAGGTGTGTAA